GAGCGAAAATCGGAATCAAGTCGGAACAAAGGTAAGGGAAAACCCCTGTAACTTTTACAGTACATGAAAGAAATTTTTTTCGTTTGTTTATTGTATTTAAAATTGTCTCTCGCTATTTATAGTTAGCGAACTTTTAATAGCCAAACGTTTAAGACATAGTTAAGATGAACGCGTAAAATTATACTGTTTTAAACTTATTACTACGAAAATTTTGCGGTTCAGTTATTTTTGTAGTTTGTTTTAAAAGATTCGCCATGCGGAACAAATTTGTATTGAAATAGCAAGCAAATTACATGCAGGAACTATTAAACCACAGAGATAATCTACAGTACCTGCGTCGCCATGGACAAAAAAGTGAAATTACATCTACTCTCACGGTAGTAGCTTTTGCCTACTGTCTACCGACACATTTTAAAGCCTTAAAAGCAAATTAAGGCGGCAGAACGAATAGATGTATTAAACTGAACTTTATAAACCGATTTAGCGCTGTACCATGTGGCCACTTTTAGGGTTCGGACTTTATAAGAAACCTTAAAAAATTCGCATTTTTGCCCTTTCTGAAACTTGACATTATTAAAATTTCGGATGTTTGTACGTGCGTTTAAAAGCAAATGAAGGCGGCAGACCGAATAAATATTAAAGTGAACTTAAAATTGCATTATTTGAATAATAAGCTGGGGAAACGATTTTCCATTTGGCATATTTTAAGGCCTGTGTGAAATTTAAAAACTCCGCTAAATTCGAATTTTTCACGCTTCTGGCTTCGGCGTAGCTTCGTTCTCGTCTCGTGTTACGACTTCAATGCGGATATCGTACGAGCGATACCGAAACCGAAAGTGCGAACTTTTAAAATTTCTTGAAAGTTAAAAAAGATTAATTTTTGAAAATAACTTCCTTATATGATGTTGTTAGCTGTCCGTTCATCGTTATTATGGCGAATTTAATGGCGTTAAAGGTATTTTAAACAATTGGCTTACTTTTGTTAACTTTCAATGTAGTTTCGGGACAATTTTCGCCCTTAAATTTGAGCCAAATTCGAGGTAAATACAAGATAAATGTATGACCAATTTGTCACAAATTTACAAGTTTGATTTTGTTTTAAATTCTGAGATATTTAAAGCGCATTTGTTGTATAATATCCCTGGGTTTTCTTTCACACATTCTGGCCAAAATTCGCTCAAATTTATACTGAAATACTGCTATAAACTACAAAGTTTATCTGCAGTATAAATTGTACTATTATACTTATTTTACAACATAAGTTTATAGTTTTGCTCCGCAAAATAAATTTTATATTTCGGGCGTTTTGCGACAATTTGCGACGCGTGCTATCTGGGTTTATAAACTATTTTTAATAAAATAGTGTGGGTGAAAACTGCACAGCAAATTGCTAGGACAATATTACAATTAAAACAACTCCACTTTTGTTTTGAATTTATTTTCGTTACCCGAAAACCGGACGTATTAAATCTTTCCAAAAAGGAAATACTTTTATACGGTGAGGATAAGCTATTTTTGTCACGGCAATCTATTTTTATGATTTTACTCTGATAGGGCAAGCACCCATATTGACAAACGTCATTAAATGCGTTGAATATATAATGAGTTTGAACTCCCCCTCTTTTTGTGGGGGTGGGTTAGACGTTAAACAGCTTTTGCTGATCAAATTTCCCCAAAAAATCCCTCCTCACTGGAAAATGCTTGCCAGCAAAAGAGATTTTAGACCACTTAAAGCAATCCTAGAATTTTTAAGCAGGATTTTCTTGCCAAAAAATAAGCTATTTGCATGGCTAAATTAAATGTGGGCTGCTGTAATTTTATCTCTATTTAATTTGCATATAATTATGTTCCTATACTTATTCCAAACTTAACTCGCCTCCGGACGCTTTAAATTTAAATTTCCTTTCTTAATAGTGTTTTAGCACACGCAATTTAAATAATGTATAAATTGCCACATGCCCTAATGCATTTTAGTTAGGTATTTTACAAAGTTGAATTTCAGATGATTTTAATTATCTGAGAATAGGATTTAGGTATTATTGTATATAATTATAGAGTTAATATTTTGATATTTCCAACTATCATGCAAGTTAGTTTATGCAAATTGCAATTTTTGTCAGAAGGCCGTCTGGGTTCTCCATTTTTGTATGCACAGCTTAAAAAGTTTGAATTCAAATTTTTGTAAGATTGTGGTTGAACTAGTCTATAACCATGTCAGGAATAGGGTTCATGTCATAAAAGTTTCAAATACTTTTTAATATCTGGTTTGTAGTTAAATGATAATTAAATTTAAAATACATTATTCTAATACACCCTTCCGGAACGTACATTGCTTTGGCTATAGATTGAGCATCATTTTTTGTGTATCTGACATCAGTTAAAGCCTACAGTATACATCAATAGCGAAAACAAGGTTACCGATGCATAGCTAAAGCGACATACCAGAAGCATGTATTTGTTCACTTTCATCACACTACCGTATAACCAAAAAAAAAATACCTGGGTTTCTGGTTAATTGACCCAACCTATTTCTTGGCCTCTGAAATCACTGGCCCTAATCTTTTATACTTAAAGTTTTCAAAGAGCAATCTTTGTATCCAGTTGACATGGCAAAAGTGATGAACAAGAAATTTCTGTAGAAAATGAAATTTTTTTTTGAAATGTCAAAAGCATAAAAATTTTGAAACCACATGTATTGAACAAGTGCTGTATTAATGGGACTGAGCCACTGTCCTGTGTATTTGGCATACAATGTTGTCATGTATGAACATTTATAAAAAAGAATTTAAAAAAAGGCCTACTAACCCGACCTATATTTTTGCAACAAGAAACCAGAAACCCACTCAAATATTTTTTTCTTATTCTACCTGTGGTCAACCCATTAAGCTGCAATAAAATTGCCCCAATATTCGGTTAGTTTACGACTTTACGCGGTCTTACGCCAGAAAATTTTACTCATGATCAAGATATTGAGCATTGACTGTTATCGGTTATCTAAACTACTTTTCTATGAACTAGTCTCAGCTGTCTCAAAGCTGTTATAATCCATACATGATATGATGAAGTTGTCTAACCTAATCTTTCAAGTATATGTGTTATGATAATCATAGGGTATTATAGGGTAATACCGAGGGCAATATCAGATTATATTTCCCTCCATCTGTTTATAATGAGTGGGATTTTTGTCTGCCGTAGGCCATATGTGAGCAGCTGTAATAATGCTTGTCTTTTTAAGCTGTGTTGATTAAATGTGATGTGAAATGATGCGGGTGATAATTGTTGATATATTATCTGATAGGCCTACTTTCTGCAGGGGGGGGGGACCCTGTAGAAAAAGTCAACTCCCCCTAAGCAAGTTATCAAACAGTGGATACTAAGGTAACATTATATCATAGGAAAATTTTCTTAGAGGCAGGTGTACGTACACCCCCACAAAACTTATCAACCCCCACTCCCCTAGGGAAAGTAATCGAACAACACATACTGGCATGTTCATGAACTAGTCTAGGAGATTCTGAATAGTTTATTGTTGTTACAGGAGGGTACTCCCCCTGGAAAAACACTCTCGCGCTTTATCTGATAAGTTGTATCCCGCCTCTGCATGTTAATATCTAGATATGAATATGATATCATTTCTCTTGTGTTGACCATGCATTAAGCCAAATGTGGCTTACTGGTACTTTTCTATTTTACTGTACTCTGTGTTACGGCAGACAATTTCACTAGCTTGTGTTGGGTGTTAGTGGGTTAGAATTCCAACTGTTTTTTGTGTCTGGGTATAGGACACTTCAAAAAATTTTCTTTAAAGACTTTTGTCATAAGAGTAAAATCTTCCCATGTTTAAAGATATGATATCAAGGTATTGATATATCAATGTTAGTAGTACTTATCTATAAATATTGATGCAGCTTATAGTTTTAACAGACAAGTTTGGCAAACGTTGTTTACATTGTTACTACCCAACTTTAGATAACTCGCATGCCTCGTTACCATTGTTCTAGTGTACAAAAGCATATAATAGAACAGAAGTATTAACTAAGCATTAGAGCTTACCCGGGATTCAATGAAGTGTGAAGTATTTTGAGCAATTGAAATACGTTTTTGAGCCCTAAACAAAAGTTTGATAACTTTAAACTGATATTGCTTAAACGAAATTATAGGAACGCGCTAGAAGTTATGTAGTGGAAAAAGACGATCAATAGCATTCAACAACATTAGTTTTTTTGTGCAAAACATGGAATTTCATATAATTTGTAACAAGCAGTTTTGTTAAATCATGAAGTGCGACTTATTTCAATTGCTCAAAACACTTCACATTTCATTGAATCCCAGGTAAGCGGGACCATATAAACAGCCCCTTGAATACCTTTGACACTTTGTTCTATTCTATATGCATCTGTTTCCTAGAAAAATGAAACTTAGGCATGTGAGCTAGTTATCTAGAGAGTAGAGTTGTGAATTGGGTGTACTGAAACAAACGATTTGTCTGCTTATTGTCCTGTGGTCCAGTTTGCCAACCATTCCTCGTTTTCAGCTAACCCTAATGGGTTTTTTTTATGAAGTATTTTCCGCCCTACCATTTCTAGTTTTTTTTTCAGGAAATGAAACCGAAACTACACAGCATATATTTCGTTTACTTAGTAGCTATAATTGGGTGTTTTGTGGATGGGTAAATATCAAGATTTTTTGTGGCATCTCACTCCAATGAATAGTATTTGATGGGTATACAGCTATTTCAATTAAGGTTGTCCACGAGCGAAGCGGAAAAGTCGAATACGAGCGCGAAAGGTTGCTGGGAATTGCTAACAAATTAATGAATTTTCATAGCGATTCCCAGCAGCCTTTCGCGCTCGTATTCGACTTTTCCGCTGTGCTCGTGGACAACCTTAATTGAAATAGCTGTATATTGTAGATGGAAATTGTTGAGTGGAAATTTATACATTTATTAGACCTATTAAACTTATTAAAAACCAGGAACAGAAGCGAAAAATGCAAGTATAGGTCCCTGGCAGGATTCGAACCTGCGGGTCTGCGATTCCGGTGCAGTGCTCTAACCAACTGAGCTACAGAGGCCAGTTGTCGAGCTCTAACCACAAGTTCATGCATAAATACTAGGGTGCTGCCTTGTTTAGGTTGTGGGTAAATATAAACTAAGGTTTTTGTGGCATCTTACTCGAATGAATAATATGAATTATCGCCGGAACGCAAATTTAAAAACATTTTTAGACCCAACCATATGCATAAACATTCTTATTCCTAAACCAGGAGCACTTGCGCAAAAAGGAACTTTAGGCCTACAGAAAGCGCTGTTGCCCTTTGTTTTTTCATCCCCCCATTTTCTATAGTAATTACTTTAAGCAAAATAATGAATTTCACAGCTATAATACACGTAATTCCACCAAGTTACACGTTAGCTACAAAAGAACGAATTACCGCAAATATACTGTCTTCAACAAAGGCGTCTCTCTATGGAATAGTATTAATGAAGATATCAAAAATATTACTTCATATTTCTCTTTTAAGAAAAAAGCAAAATTATATTAGTTAGTATCTGATTGATGTAAATATTGTAAATTACTCTCTTATCTCTTTTGTCTTTTCACTATTATTTCTGTTTGTAAATAGTATATTGCTCTTTATTCATGGCTATTGAAAAATAGGGGCCTTACGTAAAAGTCCAACTGGATTTCCAAAGGTCCCTAGCCCTTTATATTATTATATTCTCATATGCTTTGTATATATATATATATATATATATATATATATATATATATATATATATATATATATATATATATATATATATATATATATATATATATATATATATATATATATATATAGTTTTTTCGTTTTACCTCAAAAAACCACAACAGTCTGTTTTATCAGTCTGATGATTCCTATACGGATGAAACAGACTGTTGTGGTTTTTTGAGGTAAAACGAAAAAACTATATTACGCTCTATCTATATGGTATTGAGCACTGTTTGTGTTTCGTAAACCAAAATCTTAAGCTATATATATTTGAGCACTGTTTGTGTTTCGTAAACCAAAATCTTAAGCTATATATATATATATATATATATATATATATATATATATATATATATATATATATATATATATATATATATATATATATATATATATATATATATATATATATATATATATAGTTTTTCGTTTTACCTCAAACAACCACAACAGTCTGTTTCATCCGTATAGGAATCATCAGGTGGTGAATAATTTCGAAATTGTAGGTTGCTTTTATACTATCGAAAGAATGTGCGGAATGCGTGTAGGCGAAACAATGCTTAGGTTAAACAATGCATGCTTGGGTCATTAGGTTTTGTTAACGACCTTGTTTACTCGAAACCGGTTTTTGTGACGACATTTGCCGAAAATTTCGCTTCTTTTATTGAGTAAATTGTCTTTGTTTATGTCTTTCAAAATGCAAAATTTTTCTTCCAAACATAAATTGCAGCGTTTTGATCCCCCTGTGTACGAAATAGCGTGTTTTAAAATAAATGTTTCTAGTTTTGTCCGCGAAAATGAAAATGTTGGGGGATGAATTAATTTTCTTCAAATCGTTAGCCAAACATGTTAACAATTATACCATGAGCTCGAGTCGTATATGAGCTGATAGCCGACGAGGTGCGTAGCACCGAGTCGGCTATCAGCCATATACGACGAGAGCGAATGGTATAATTGTTTAATAATATAGTCTAATATAGCCATTAACTGAAGCAGTAATTAATTATTCACTGTTACAATGTGTTGACAATTTTTTCGGCCAAAAACCGCTTGAAAATTTGAAATACTTTTGTTTTACAACTCGAAAACGAAGTGAAATAAATGGTTTTAGAACCTCTCTATATCTCGCAGGAAAGCTCAGATATATTATACAGATGTTTGGTAATATAGTAAGTGCTTGTTGACTGCAAATTCATTTGTCGTTCATTGCAAACTTTTCTGAACAATTTATATTCTCAATGAACATGTTTTTTTCGCTGTTGTTTCGGTATAATCCTTTAAAAAACTTGTATTTAAAGTAATTTCTACGTAATAAATGTATTTTGTTAACTGTCAAATTTTTTTGAGAATTTTTCCTTGTACTATTATGTTTCTCAAAGCGAATATTTTCCTTTTTCTGCTTCGCAAAGCTCATGTAGTTTTTGGACCGCCATCTTGTTTTCGCTACTCGCCGTATATGAGCTGATATACAGCGAGTAATTCAACCAATCAGATTGCAGAACAGCTCATATACGGTTGAAGGCTATATTATAAATATATTTATTTATTTATTTAATAGCTTAGCCCTTGTACAAATATTAATTATTAGCACATGGCAGGGAATCTGCAACAGCGCAAGCCAATTACTGCAGCCCCTTTAAAACTTAACAGCAACAAATATAATGATAATATAGGAACGAGTTGTTTCCTTGTCCTCAGAGGCAAGTCATTAGATACTACTTGACACTAAACCAACTTTTAAACTCATATAATAACGAGAGAAACGATATAACAAGGAATACTGCTTGAGGATAACGAAGTAACTCTTTCCAAAACATGCAACAGACGAAGACACAATATCTACATGCAACACGAGATCGGATTGGTAAGACTACGAACACAATTACACTTTAGACAGATTGTTTTGTACGAACGAGGATCGTCAACGTTGTAAGAAGTTCTTAATGGAGTCATATAATATTCATAAAGAATAGACTTGTCGAATGTGGAGAGACCACAAGTCTCCAGTTTTAGTTCTTCCGCTAGAATGTTCCAGACACGGGTTGTTCGTATGAAGAAGGATCGTTGGTGGGTTGTTGTTTTGCATTTGGGTATGATGAACTTGGTGGCAGTAGCCTACTGGTGGAAGATCTGGTAGGTCTCGAGGTTCGGATGGTTGGAATGGGAGGAGGTTTCACATTCACCAGACTATTTACTATTTTGTAGAAGAGATAGATTTTGTAGAGAGATTTTATAGATATATATATATGTATATAATTATGACTTAAAAAGTAAATGAATATATATATATATATATATATATATATATATATATATATATATATATATATATATATATATATATATATATATATATATATATATATATAGTTAGACATCGCTCTATGGCCTTTAGGTCATATTGAGCGCTCTACAGGATGAGCCGTGCCGCTTATGCATTGCGCACGCTCACTGCTTGCAGTTTGAGCGCTCTGGCATGGTTTTGATCAGGGCGCTTATATAGAGGGCGGTGAAACGGCTATATAGGCGCGCCGATCGATGTGTGATGCAATGAACTGGTAACGAGTTTGTTGTGGTTACTATGGCGACGTTGTCTTATATGGCAAGGATAAATATGGCGGGAAAACTGAGCTGGAAGTTTTGACTGTTTTGTAGTCAAGTTTTGATGAAGAAATAGATATTGGGGGTAAAATTCCGATGTTATACGATAATTTAGTAGATTCTGCTATTGTATTTTCAGGTAATACTGCCAATATTTTAGAATTTTTGCTCAAAACGCTTGCGAAAGCTTACGAACGGTTGCTTTCGCAAGAAGCATGACGTGAAAGGTTTTTAAAACTCTTCGGATGTACACGTATCGTTCAAGTTCGATAGAATACAATTCACAATTAATTTTAGCCACTAGTTGATCTTTTCAGTTGAAAATCAAGAAATGCTCAACTTGAATTTGTATTTTTTTAACGAATCCTTACGAGAAGTTGTCTTGGCCAGCCGGTCAAAAAAAAATCAAAGTTGGGACGAAACTTTTTCGACTATTGCGCTCAACAAACGTCCGAGCGAGTCGTATTTTGATTCAAAGGCCAAGAAGTAAAATATGTTTACGGCTCAGAATTACTTCAATTGAATGCCTTAAAAGTCGTACAAAATTATTAACATA